CCCTACATAACGATCAGAAAATAATGGGCGTCACGGAACACAGTTTGAGAAAATCCGACAAATGGCCGTATAAACATGGGGAAAAAAAAACACTCTGCAGTCTGAAAAATGAACACGGTTTTGCCATAAACTTACGTACGTCTCCTGGTTCGACCGTTTTCTAATGGAATTTTTTGAGTTTGAAGCTTTGCGCGGCCTTCCTCACTCGAACACCGTATTTTAGAAAAAAAAAACAATATCTACATTTTCTGTTCACGTGAAGTAAATATAGCGTATTAATTTATTTATTTACACCAAATGCCAATTGAGCCACAGTACATAAACGCTTGCTTGGTGTATTGGAGAAAACCTGTCACTGGAAATTTTGAAGGTGTTTTTTGGGGGATCGCCGAGATATGCAGCGTGCACGAGACACCTACTCACACAGCTAAAGAGGCGACCTCTATGATGCAGTATGTGAAACAGGATGCTAACCGATGTGTTTGTGGGTTACCTCTTCATACACATGGATTGTTTTTGTTTCCCCATCCCCTGGCCCTCAAGTTTTGTCGCGCCTGTAAGAATAATGTTTCACGATAAGGATGTTGGCCAGACACCCCCCCCCCCCACGCAGGACCCACATTACAATCATAATGGTTCCTTTTGAACACATAAGCACGCGTATATATATAAAAAAGAAAAACTCAACACATTCGTCAATAACGCTGCCACTACTGTTGGGCATCTTGGGCTGTGGGCATCCTTGTAAAAGAGCTGCTGAGATCAATGGGCTGAAATAAATAAATACACATGCGATTTTTTTTGCGTGTCAGTGGCCCTTCATCGTGGAGAGATCGTAATTTATCCGCTATTATAGATGTTACATGTCTGTGTACATGTTATTGTGTTTGATATGTATGTGACAATTGACACCATGGACATCACCTCTCTTCCATTTGCTGGCCTCTATTTATGTAAATTATTTATACCACATGGCAGATGTATTTTAATATATTAACATTGAACTTCTTTCACACCGTGCTAATCGGAGGTGTGGGAAAATATGAGCTCGCTAACAGTTATGCTCCAACGGTTTTATTCTGTAAGGTTAAAAAGGTGCCTGTAAAAAAATAAATTTGCATGTGTGTATACAGTAGTATCTAAACACCATGTTGGTCGTGGGTATTGTTTACCATACTTCACCATTTTGAATTGGTGAAGATGGCGGGCAGGACCGGTTCCGATATCACTTGACACTGATGTTATCCATGACCAGGAATTGAACTTTGGTCGACAGGTTAATAGTGCATGCAGTGTGCTGACGACTGTATCACCCCTGTAATGTATTCTAATTTATATTGTGCCTTCTAGTTTTAATGACATTGTAAACTGGCAGTGTCACAACCCATGGGAAGAAATGTACTTGGTTCCCGATGATGACAGTTTTATTTTTCTATGTGTTTATCACGAGACTTAATGCATTTTAGAAATTTAGGCTGCCCAGTCCTGTGAGCAAAATTAACCTCCAAGCTATCATTTTGGAGGAGCCCATATAAAAAAAAATATTTGTGTTTGGATGTATTTAGGTATGAGCATACACTCCTATGATAAACCCACATGCATTTTTTGTGGATTGTTTGACCATACCTCACCACACTGGTAAGGTTGGGTTAGTTAATTGGGGAGCACATAGCTTATTTCAGATGTAACTTGCTGTTTAATTTGCCCAGGCCAGAAATTAAACTCAGGTTTGCTGGATTCCCAGTGTAGTGCAGTGCTAACCACCATGTCACCGCTCCCCCTATAAGCACATACTCCACTATATTTGTGTAACATTCAATCTGTAGGGCTCCTTGCAGAACATCATTATAATTTACATCAATGTCTCAGTCACAATTGTCTGTATTGCGTTTATAGTATACTACTTGGTGTCAAATGCATATATGCAATGCTCGAACAGACGCAGATGAATTATAATATTTATCAGTGCTGATATGTGAAATGCTTTTCTCTAAACGTACTTTATATAAACCCAGCCATTTCCCTGTGATATGAAAGGCAGCATTTACACATTCCATCTTTCTTGGGCTCATGTGAGGTGTCTTTGTTTGACGGCAGCATTAATTTATATCGAGATCTATTTAAGAGATCCCGGGGCTGTGTTTATTAGACCAGGTCTTTGTGTGGTAGCGCCAGAACATCTCTGTAAATAATCCATAAAAACAAACCGCTCCCAGATTCACAACAAAATCTCCATTGTGTCTCAACGGAGCTTCCAATATACATGTGCAAGATGCGCACGTAGGGGATAACACCCTAGCAATTCAAAATAGGCCTCAAACAAGCATTTGGTGTTGAGCCTCAAATATAAACTCATCTCTATCGGAAATTTCACATTATTCTGGTTGGGGCCAGTATATCGACGGCATAATCAATGTTTATTTCCCAATATGTAGTGCTTATATTTTTTCATACGAATTGAATACAATTTAAAAAAATGTCTGCTGCACCATTTCATATGGCATTACAGTGATGTAATTTTACCACGACAGAAGTACCTGCAAGTCACTTTAGAATAAAAATTTTCTCATGACTAAACCTTAAAACGCGTCGGACAACCAAGAACACAGAACACCAGGTACGCATCTATAAAATAAGATTTAGAGTTATTTGTTCTGGCTTGAATTTAGCACTGCTATCCTGATAAGTCTGAAAATCTTTCTGGGTCATTAAAAGTCCCACTTTTTTGTCATTTGGTAAGAATAGACCACTCAAGACGATGCATTTGCATGAGTTCGCCCCTCTTTCGATAGTTGTAGATATTCTTCTTCCCATGCTACGTACAGGTATTTTTTTGTAGCTCACGAGGTGGCAACCATAGTTGTGTCTTCCTTTTGGTGGGTCATAAGGAAGACGTTATAGTATACACGATCAAAGTAGTACATCACCCATTAACCAGTCAAAGTGTAATGTCACCCATTAACCAACCACATCACGTGCCTTTGCCTATACCAGAGGAGTAACTTTGGTTGGCTTCTTTGAGATTCAGGTATTTTCACCGACTTTCCTAACCATGGTTCTATGAGTGTCACGTGTGTGCTTATGTTGTGGCGCTCTGTGACTATTGGGATGTGAGCTCACGTGCCTCCTAGTATATTGTTTTGAGCTTTTGGCATGTGACTTATACACACATGACTGAATGATGTCATAAAAGGGCTAGAAAACTTAAATTTGGCACAAACATTGTCCATTCTTTATGCTTTCACACACACGGCTGAGTCGGCTTAAAGTTCTAAACTGATTTAAGTCTCATGCTAAACACTGACATATATGATGCCCATCATTAATGACAGGACTTATTCCTGCCATGGAGTGTGATGATAATGCCGATAGAGAGCCCAGAATTGATTATGATTACAGTATCGTGTTATCATTTATATATGTAAATCCCCCAGTTGGCTCTGTGGCTCATGCTCGACAGATTTAAAACATTATTTAGGCACAATTGTATGTTGCGTTCCATTATGAACCTACTCTCGGTTGACTCGATTTTTCATCACGTTTGTGGCTCTACGAATCTAAAACAGGATACACATATATACAGAGGACTACCGATACTATTTAATACGTTACTATTTAGTTCAATAGCTACGTTACAGTGATGTATGTACAGTTCCGCTCATTGCATATCCTGAGACGTGATGTCTCTGCAAGCCTAAAATATAAACTACTTATAAGCAAAATAAAATAAATCACGACGTTTCGGGCACAACACAAGCGTCCGTCATCAGGTGGGAAAGGGACGCTTGTATTGTGCCCGAAACGTGATTTATTTTATTTTATACCTACGTGACTTTACTGAAAGCACCAAAAAGTATGGATTCCTACAGTCACGAAAGCTTCAAATCAAGATAGTACTGTCATTCATCTCTAACTTGTGTTTTACGTGGACAAACCGAACACGTAAAACATACAAAATAATTAAATGTATAATATTACGTTGCAAAAGTCAACGTGTCTATATCGTCAACTGAGCACTGATTGGTATGCATCTCCAATGCTCTTTCTCAACACTGGTGACAATCTACGTTACTATGGCAAGCCCCAGTCTGTTACAATGTAGTCAAAGTTACATTCCAACTCAGTGGTGCAGCCTCATCAAATAGTCTTATATTCTTAACCCTATTGAGATGATGGATTTGATTTGGGGAGCTCACAAGAGCACACTACTTTACCACCTGGGGAGGGACCTTGGTATTATCATAAGCTGAAAACAAAATCTAAGCATTTCCCTGATAAAATTAGCAATCGGATGGCACGTATCGCTGTTGGTCGTCAAAAGCCAGTGGCTTCCAATAGAACATTCTATCATTCGTGTGTCAAGGATAAGAGACGCATGCTTGGAATGTCTATCAGAGACAGGGAAAGAACTACACACATGAAAGAACGTATTCAGGCAGGAAATGTAGCTAGAAGGGATGATGACCAGTGATGAAGGCTAATAATAAAGGGCTGGCAGGTAAGGAATGGAACACGCCTAAAATGACACCGACAGAGTCGATGGAGCGATGACATTGACTCGTGTGCAGGCACCAAGTGGATATTATACATGACAGAATTGCGATCGTGATATAAGGTGATGGTTTGGGGAGGCCTTCAACCAGCAGTTGATTGGACATGGCTGAAGATGATGCCGATAATGTTCGTGGGTTAATCTGTTACAATAACAACACAAAAACGACGATTGCCTTCCCCCCAAAATGATACGAGTTGAATTTGACCTTAAACGGATGACGGAACCAAGATGACCCCTTTTTGAAAGGGCATTTGACCTCGCGACCTTCCCACAGTGAGTTTTAACTTAACACTCCGAAATTGCAGCGCCGCATTTCCACAGTGCGGCGAACAGCGACGCGAAAGCTGCAGTTTGTTTGACACGAAGCGACACGAGTAGGGTTGAATTCAAAAAGAGCACAAACACCAACGTGGCGAAAAACGGCAAAGATAACGCCACTACTTGCCATCATCATCTCCTCGTTATTCTCCTCCTGTCGGACAAACGTCCCGCAGACGACGGACCGCAGTTGATTGGAGCTTGCAAGTGCTCAAGTGCGTGGCCGTACTTTTGGCCACAGCCTCGGCTACCTCGATCGATAAGAGACTTCCCCACGCCCTCAAAAAGCGAGGGAGGGAGGATGTCGACGCCACACGCGACAACAAACGGGGACACAAGCCCTCGCCCCTAAAAAAAAACCACAATTAAAAGCACGCGCAGCTTTCGGCGGCTGCTGGCAGCAAAGTCAGTGGATCCACTTTGGCGACACGCTGGCGAACACAACGACACGCCCAGAGTGGCCCTTTTGCTTATCAGCTTCTGGTGATGTGGAGCCGGCGAAGGCAGAGAGCTCCCCACCTTCAACTCGATAACAACTTCTGTTTGGACACTCGGGGAAAACTCACACGAAGGTGATGATGATGATGCCTTATAGCCTGAACAGACTGTTGGGGCAAGTGCTGTGAGCGAGGAGCATCGACGAAGTTCCGGAACGGCACACGACGGGGGTTGGCTGGCCAGCACCACGCCCGGCCGCCTTTGTCTCCCCCAGTGGGAAAGTTTTTACATATATATTTTTTACACATCGCAACCCAGGTGCTCATTTGAGGCTGAGTCGACCTAGGGGAGGCACCGGGGCCGGTTTAGATAATATAATCGTCACCGGTGTTGGCCGTGAGCGGGGGATTTGAGGTTTGGAGCGAGCAGCGCGCCCTAACCGCGACACCACCCCAACTTATACAGCAGCGAGCGCCATTCGCCACTAAATGGCGGTGACGTGACCACGGCGCCTGTGCCAGGCTAGGTGCACGTTAAGGCCACGTGTGTGTGTGGGGGGGGGTCGAACAACCCGCTGGCAGGGAGACAGACCGAGGGGACAGACCCAGCAGGTGCCACGCGGTCGCCCCGACCGAAGTGACTGACGGCGATGCGACCACCCCGTGACCCCGATAACCCTATCACTGTTGCCAACTTAGAACGCGACCGACGTAGGGGGCCGTCCATAAATGACGTCACGCTATTTTGGACGATTTTTGACCCCCCCCCATTTCGTCACACGACGTCACAAAAAGTCAGACCTCCCCCTCAAATATGACGTCACAAAGCTCTGCCCCCCCCCCAAAAAAAATATAAAGCATGCTTCAAATCGCTTTAAACTATTGTCACTGTAGTGCGTATTTAATGTGGCGCTGCACTCTGATGTTGTAGGAGAAAACATTTATTAAAAAGTATATTTAATTAAGTAGAACGTGTTGTCTATACAGTATTTTTTAAAAAGTTGCCCATTTTTATGTGACGTCACATTTCTCAACCCCCCGCCTTCGTCACACATCGTCACAAATGTCTGACCTCTCCCTTAGGTGCGTGACGTCATTTATGGACGGCCCCTAGCAGTTGCGTGACGTCTTGACGAGAGCTTTCAACGCGTTGTTGAAACGGCGCGCGGCACAAAAAAGTTTTACGGCGATCACGAGACAATCCCCACGTTACATTTAGATTTAAAGCTTTCGTGACTGCAGGGATTCATATTCTTGGTTCTTTCGGTAAAGTCACCAACGTAGAAGGGAAACAATAAAATAATAACAAAAATATATAAAACATTAAAATTCTCACGACGTTTCGACTGCAACACAAGCAATCATCATCAGGTGTGAAAACCACAGCAAGAAAAATTTCAAAGTTTTTTTTAATGTTTTATAATTTTTATTATTTTATTGTTTCCCTTCTACGTGGTGACTTTAGCGAAAGAACCAAGAATATAAATCCCCTCGTTGTGCGTTCGCCGTTGCTGCCGAGGATAATTCATTAACATGATGGATTCTACTGCCGCGCTGCTTCGTCGTGAGTGTTAATTGCACAGTGTGCCCAGGCTTTCTGTTGTTGTTGTTATGAAGACAAATCATATCTCAACACCGCCCCCACCTCCTACTGTGGAGTAGCAAGCGGCTGTCAAGGTGTAGCGACGTACTACGTCACTACTGTGTCGGGACTATACGAGCGTAGGGAAATATGACGTCACGGTGTCGGGGATTGTACGAGCGTAGGGACGCATGACGTCACTACCGTGTCGGCTCGGTATGGGTGCTGTAGGCGGGTGTCACGGAGGTCGTGTCAGGCCGTGACACTCCGCGTGAACCCAACAGGACACGTGACCGGACAAAGGGGGGGCTAGGGGCCCCAGGGGGGAGCTTGGGGGTCACGTGGTTGGGGGCCCGTACCTTCCCGAAGGATCGAGACGGGGGGCGTGGCCTGGGGCGGAGTCGGCCACGCCACGGGAGTTATAAGCGGGGTGTGAACAGAGCGCGGGGCTGTTCAACCCCGGGATGAAGACGCCATCAGCGGTCCTCGAGTCTCTGATCGTCGTTCGTGAACAGGCAACCCGTCACCTGCCCTGGTCACGCTGTGTAGTACTCCCCTGAGTGTTAGTGAGGTTAGGAACGGTGGTCACCACCCTGCATGTAATGTTCACGTTGGTTGTTATGCGTTAATAAATAGTGTTGCAACCCTCCACAGAGACAAGGCGCTGTTAGCGAACACCTATTAAGGGCGCTGGTGTGGGCACCACCACCAGTAATAATGATGTTAGCGTGGCATGCCAGGCGATTATTTAAAGTTGAATCAACCTAGGGGGTGCCCGGGTCAGATTCAGATACCACTTGCCACCGATATCGATGTTCTCTTCGGATGGGTTTAACCTGGGTCCACCTAGATTGTATCACTGCACTAAACCACTTTATAGGCAACGAACTACCCCTTATCGCCTAAAACAGACTGGTGGAACAAGTTTGTTCGCGAATACCTACGAAGGCCAGCATTTGAGAGGGGGTTGGGTGGCCAACACCACCTTTGGCCGCCTTTGTCTTCCCTGTGCTGATGTTTACACACAGCGCCAGGTACTCATTTAAGGCTGAGTCAACTTAGGGGAGGCCCAGGACTGCTGCACATATGCCCCACGGTTAATTGGTTGTGAGTAGGAATCTACCCTGGTTTCATGGGGTCCGTAGCGCAGTGCATTAACCACAACACTACTGCTCACTCCCCCTGACAACACACCCTAGCCACTATCCCAACACACACACACCATGTGTTTACATAGGGTAGTGTAGTGTCGTGATTGTTGCAAAATACCACCAGCCCAGTCAAGCCACGTTCGATGCCCGATCTAGATAGCACCAGATGAAAACGGCATATGAGCCTTTGTGCCTGTCATAGGTCAACTCGGACTCAATGGAATAAATGCAAACCTGTCAAACCCATACGGTCTAGCCCGTATCCTTGTACAGGGGAATTTAGTTCTCAGGTTCATACGGCGTACAGCCGTTTCAATACGGGCAACAACAAAAACGTTTTCGTGTCTGTGTTTGTGTTTCTCCCTTGTGATGGGACTTTGTAGGATGAATGTTGAGATGTATAAGGGGCACGGGGTGACTAATACGGTCTGAATTGGTCTGTAAAAAAGTAGGGCACTGATAATGCGTTAACAGGTGTGCATACTGAAACGGGCTCTTTTATGTACCTCGCCAAGCTGCTACATAAAAAAAATTGACACTGTAGAACCCGAAATGATGCTTACGTATTTTTTTTATCAGGTTCTGTGTCCCATGCTGCAATATCATTGAAGTGTAATTGACCATATGTAGAGCATATGTGAACGATCGCAATTCCTGTGCATACAGGCGAAATACGCAGGGCTCATATAATGTAGGTGTGTGTGTGTGCCCCACTACCCTGGAACATCCTTGCAAATGAGATTGTCCATCTCAGAGGGATGCTTGACAGGAGTGTACTTGGTGCAGCGGGATGCCAACCTCAGCACGTACTGGTGTGAGACAAAGGAGGCTGAGTGTGCATGTACTGCCAACACCGGGAGACACCCAAATAACAAGAAGAGCCATTTGTGTTTGAATTTGGTAAAAAAAAACCTCAATATTTTAAGAGCCGTGTGAATACGAGACGGTGGTGGTCACGGAGCAGTCCTTAAAGAGCCGCATTGCAGCTTCAGAGTCGCAGGTTGCCGACCCCTGGACTACACCAATCCCGTCCCCTGGACTACACCAATCCCGTCCCCTGGACTACACCAATCCCGAGTGTTGTGTTGCACACCTGTCGTAGCCCCAATGTACGCTAGCTAACATCTTTCTCCAACATGCTATCTAGCTACACGGATGACCTCCAGTCGACATTTTAATGTGTTGGGTCAATTAAGACCGACCGTTGCTGAGAAGGCTGTAGTTATTTGCACGCGTCGGGGTTTATTGATACGTGGATTAGTTACTTTCAAGGATGCAGTACAGCACTTGCTATCTTTCAAGTTGGAATAGAATTGGCTCTCTAATATTTATGAGATCGGCCACCAATGGCCCACATGCTTCATTGAGGCATTTGGCCATTCTGATGTCTCCTCACCAGTGAGCTCCATGCTGAGGTTGGTCAGACACTGCACGAATACGAGTGATACCACCACAGGCCTGACAACATTGATATAGGATGGAACACAGTTAAACAAATACAACGACAAACTATGTTTACTTGACCAGGTAAGACCCACTGAGCTTTTTTTCTCTTTTCCAGAAGCGACCAGGCCACAAAGGATAGCTCAACGAAGTGGCCTATCACGTGGAAATTTATAGCAGCCAAATACTACAAACGCATGTTTCGAAATGTGGAGGGAAAACCCGGAGGACCCGGAGAAAAATCCATGCGATTTCAGGTATAACATGCAAACTCCAAATATACAGCAGGCATCAGGTTCGGGATCGAAACCACGACTTCCTGTATACCAGGCGAGGTAGTTAACATCTCGCCACCGTAACGCCCCTTTGTTACCTCTTTGATGTTTTAAGGAACACATCTACGATGTAGCAAAAACTGCCCATTCTCATCTTCGTATGGCTGATGTTGTTGTAGAGCAACAACTAACACATTCCTGCGGAGGGAGCTGGTAGGAACGTTGGGTTGCTCGGTCAATGGCCAGGGTCAACGGCGGCACCACGTGGTGTATTCCGCAAATATGCCCGACTGTGAGGGCGGGCACAAGCCGGCGTGAGTAGGTTAAACGTTGAATTTTATAAGGGCACCACGGGGTGACCAGCCCCTCCCCACCCAGCCCCACCCTCCCCACCCCCCACCCTCCCCACCCAGCCCCTCCCCACCCTCCCCTCCCCACCCAGCCCCTCCCCACCCTCCCCACCCAGCCCCTCCCCACCCCACCCTCCCCACCCAACCCCTCCTCACCCTCCCCTCT